AATGAAACAAATTACGTGGAATCAAATACAACGTTCTTCCTCTTGTAATCAACGACTGGTCTCATCGTTAACATTAATTTACAAATAGGAAGAAGAATCACGTATTTGATATTTGCGTTCAATTCTACATTCTGTCTTTCTTTCGTTTGTTTTCAAAAACAGAAAATGGCAATGGGAGTTGTGAAATCTTAAGAAAATATATTTACTATTCCTTGTACATTGTACAGTATGCCCTTATATAAAAAATAATTAATGTGTTTAAATACTTGGAATATTAAAAAATAAATTATAAATCTGTTTCACACACCCCTGGCTAATTCTATAAAATTCGAAGTAATAGAAAACTTCATTCTGCTATCTGTACTGTATTTGTTATTCATTATGCATAGTAAATATTTTTACTATGTGCTTACATAAAAAATAATGTGTTTAAATACTTAAAATATTAAAAAGTAAATTATAAATGTTATTTTATATAATTCTAATTCAATAAAATTCTTATCACGAATAATAGAAAACTTTGGAAGATAGTGGCGTATGAAATGTATATTTGCATCGATCTAACCTCGGAAGTTGTGCATTACAGGAAACCAGATATGCGAGAGACGTGAAACAAAAAAACGTTTGCGAATATTTATCGGCACAGAGATGCGAATTGATTACGCAACGGGTTACATTGTTGCGTAAATTTCTGACTAATTGCAAAAATACTCTGTTATACATTATTCATAACCTCTGCTCGCAAGATAAACGCTTTTAACGGTTTGTGACATCACGCATGAGCCACACGTGAAATTTGCTCGAGGCGGGGGAGGTGGTTTGCGTGGCCAGTGTGTACACGCGCTTTCCAGCGTTTTTCGAAACACCAACGCGTCTATTTTTTTTAAAACATTCTCTTTGATATCGTTCGAATCGATCCACGTCAATAAAAAACTACCAAGAACTAGTTTTTTCTTCAGAAAATTCAACATACAGTGGTTAAAATTTATGTGGTTATAATTCTTTGGAAATGAAAAACCAGGAATTATTATTGTCTATAATTATTTAATAGTCATTCAAATTTTATATTATATTGTTAGGAAATTCGATTACGAATATTTGTTTTTTGGAAATTGAAAACCAGAAACTATAATTATTTAACAGTCAGTCATTGAAATGTATATGCAACAAAAATAATTGCGATCCACGTCAATAAAAAACTACCGGGAACTAGTTTTTATTCAGAAAATTCAATATACAGTGGTTAAAATTTATGTGGTTATAATTCTTTGGAAATGAAAAACCAGGAATTATTATTGTCTATAATTATTTAATAGTCATTCAAATTTTATATTATATTATTAGGAAATTCGATTACGAATATTTGTTTTTTGGAAATTGAAAACCAGAAACTATAATTATTTAACAGTCAGTCATTGAAATGTATATGCAACAAAAATAATTGCGATCCACGTCAATAAAAAACTACCGGGAACTAGTTTTTTCTTCAGAAAATTTAATATACAGTGGTTAAAAATGTGGTTATAATTCTTTGGAAATGAAAAACCAGGAATTATTATTGTCTATAATTATTTAATAGTCATTAAAATTTTATATTATATTGTTAGGAAATACGATTACGAATATTTGTTTTTTTGAAAATGAAAACCAGAAACTATAATTATTTAACAGTCAGTCATTGAAATGTATATGCAACAAAAATAATTTGATATTATCGTTATTAGGAAATTTGATTATGAACATTTGTTTACGATCGTAGCGATCACTTTCACGTAACATTATTTAAAATAATTTAAAATTGTGAATAAAATTGTTTACAGATGCGAAAGGAAACACGAACTATCCAAGTGCACTGAAGACGAAGAAATCTGAAAGACTATCTTGGATTCTGGCAGCGATTTCATGAAAGCGTTAATAAAGTAGCTTCTCGGCAAACAGCCCGTAACGAATCCACACACGCGAAAGATAATACGACCCATATTCAAGCGCGTTTACGCATTAACTATAATGAACACCATTGAATTCACTCATTGAACGCGGCTCAATGAAATTTAAATATTCTCGATTCCGTTCGAGGCCAAAAGGTAATATTTAAAACAACCGTTCAATTTTGGATTATCAAAGAGTTTTACAATTATTGTCAAAATCGGAAGCAGATTGATACTAGAAAATTATTTACTATCATACGTGACTAAAAAATTTGAACGAAAATAAATTATTTTTATACATTTTAAAATATTGATTAAACTCTGCAGTATTAATGTCAAGTTTAAGTGACAAATTCGATATATTTCTTATTTTTAATATAATGTTAGAGTATCTTAGAAAATTTCGAAATGTTAAACTATTTAGATAATTAATTTCTAAGAGCAATTGCATTCGTTTGCAACCATACAATGAATGAAATGGCTAAGGACATTTGATGAAGTCATGATTGTAGAATCACCTCCCCCACAGATACAGCGCCATTACTCGGAAAAAGTGATATCTAATCGGACGTAGCAAAGGTTAAACTGCAAACCGAGTGTATTATAATTTTTATTATAGTATTATGCTTTTGTTTCTTAGAAATTAATTTCAAAAATAAATCAAACCAAAATGCAAGGTATAATCATTGCTGATGACTGTGTTAAGAGCAAATATGGTAGCTTTAATTAAATGAAATACTTTTTTTTATCGTAAACAAAGAATATTTTCGTTTATTTGACTCAAGTCATCCTCCATTCGAAGAATAATAATGCTGCTGTTTTGAAAAAATTTTCATACAATAAGTAACAAATGGGAAAACGTTCTATGTTTACAATAAAATGCTCCGATGTAACAAAGACCGTTACACAAAAAGTATAAAAATAAATAATATTCTAGTTTTCCAACAATGTGTTTCGAATATATAGACTCTATTTTGATTGGTTTAAACATAGAGTGAGTAAAATGTACAATATTCTCTGGGGCGTACCGATACTATACTTCAATTAGAAAAAGTTGAATTGAAATCAGACGGTTAGACATTCACAGTCGTATAAAATTGTCGCGAGTCGTGGCGAGCCAGTGGCGTCGAAAATTATGTCCTGCCAGGTGTAAATGAGACGTTTCGAATGGCCAGCGTAGAGAATTTATTAGCGATACGATCGGAGGCATTGATCGTAGATCACGCGCAACTAGCGATGGGATCGACACCCCAATATAATCGATCAGAATGAATCAATTCGATACCAAAGTATTCAAACAGTGACTTAATAATACAAATTTATAAAAATTATAAATATTTAAATTTTATTCGTGTATTTCGTAAATTAAATTCTATAAATTCTAAATACCCTCTTTTACACAGGAATTTATAAACGTCCATAATTTAAATATTATTTATGTATTTCGTAAATTAAATTCCAAAAATTCTAAATACCCTCTTTTACACAGGAATTTATAAACGTCCATAATTTAAATATTATTCATGTATTTCGTAAATTAAATTCTAAAAATTATGAATACTCTCTTTATAATTTAAATTGCATTTATATATTTCGTAAATTAAATTTGTGTTACCACCAATGAAACGTTGATTTGTGTACATATGTTGTTGTGTATATCACTGCAAAGGATTAACAGTTTCGCGAAGTATCGATATTTTCATAAGGGATTCTAAAATTTTAAAGCTAGTATCGATTCGTATCGACAATCGATCCCATCACTACTCGCGAGCAGCGTTCCCACGCGATTGTCGTGTGGGCACGAGCCGCGAATTGCCGTTCGCATTACGCTACTAAAAGCGCTACGTTGTTACGTCGCTCCAGATGCGCGCCTCATTACGTCGTCTTTCGGTAAATTGTCCTCACCTACGTTCATAGAACATACCCCACGTCCGTCTCTCGTCCAATGATCGATTTCTAGGTCTCGAGTTTCAAAAGAAACCACGGATTCGTCCAATTATTCCAAGCGACGCGATAACGCGGTCTCGCCGATAGCCCGCAAACGCTGAGCCAACACTCGTACAAATTCTACGCGCGTCGACTTTAATCGGTCGCGTTCAACACTTTGTCGCCCATATATAGACGATAGAATTCATTGCTATGAAACCAGAAAAATGAATTTTCAACTTGAAACGTTAAGGGAAATAAGTTTGGAATAGGATTTGTAAATTTTAACAAAGTTACAAAAAGGGAGAAACTAATTTTAGATTATTGTTTGTAATAGTGCAAAATCAAAATTTTGATCTTGTAGAATATTGTACGGTTTTGGTCTGACAGTGAATGTAATTTCGAGGGATACTTTGCTCTCTCAAATAAATTTTAGGTTATGTGGTTTAGAATGGTTCAAAATTAATTTATTGATTTATTAATATAATTATAATACTATAAAACCTTATAATAATTTATAAAATTATTATATAACTATAATTTTGTATTAATTATTCTCGTAGGATATTGTACGGTTTTGGTCTGACAGTGGATATAACTTCGAGGGACACTTTACTCTATCAAACAAATTTTAGGTTATGTAGTTTAGAATAGTCTAAAATCAAAATTTTAATCTTTCTGAACATCGTAGGATTTTGATCTAGCAGTGAATGTAACTTCGAGGAATACTTTTAAATAATAAATTATGGATTATGTAGTTTAGAATAGTCTAAAATCAAAATTTCAATCTAATCTATCAGTGAACGTATTAATTCACGATACTTTTCTCTCTCGTTTCGTACCCTTTCTCTCGTGTCGCAGGTGGTTACGTAACCCCGCGATCGAAAGTGGATCGACGTGGAACGAAACAAAATAGCACATCCGATGTAACGACACTTCGATCGGTTCGATGTCTCGAGTCGCGACGTGAATCTGTCATCCCGAGTCGCGGAAGGACACGGATGACAGCGAACGCGAAAATAGAGGATGTAACACTCCCGTTAAGACCGGTCTACGGTTCAAGCTTGCGCCTAAGATCGTTAAGAACTCGGAATATCTGTGGTTCGCGAACGAACGGTACCGCGATATTGCAAAGGAGTTACTCACCACGGCGTCGGTGACCGGTATCCACGTGACGACCAGTAGGGCAAGGACACAGGTGAGAAGCGGGATCGGACGTAGCCTGCAGGAGGCTGCGTTGTAGTAGGTAGCCGCGGCCCTAGGCCGCATTGTGCTCCTCTTCCTCCTCTCCGCGTGCTGGTTTCGTTGTCGTCGTGTCCCCCGATTACCTGCGTGTCTTGGCTGATCGCGTCGCCCGGGCAGCCCTTAAAACAGTCGCGACCGATGAAAGGTGAGTACGGTCGAATCCCGGTTGTTCGGTTAAAAACGATACTGGTCGGCCAGCCTGTCGACGCAGCGCGTGTCGAAGGGCCAGACAGACGGCCCGTTTGGCCCGTCCTACCGATCAGTCGGCGCTAGCACGCAGCCAGCAGACAGGCCTAAGTCGGCGGCGGAGGAGGCGCACACTTCTCTCTTCTCCTCTTCGCGAGAGGCTGTATCCTTGCGCGTCGTGCCGTACAGATGCTCCCCTCTCGTTTTCTGCCTCGCCGGTTTCGCTCGTTTCGCCCGAGCACGGAGACCTACGGCGCGATCGACATCGGCTGAGGCCGCGCAACAGTCCTCGTGCGACGCGCGACCGAGCTCGCCTCGACCCGGTCACCGTCAGAGATTCCTCTCCACCTCCCTCCCTACCTCCTATTCTGCTCTTCCTCGTCTACTTCTTCTCTTCTTACTTCTTCCCCTCTCCGGCCTTACGGAGATACTCTTCTTTCCACCCTTCCTCTCGGTTTCGGCTTCTCCCTCTGTCCTTCCTTGTCGCGCCCTGACCGCCTGGTATCTTCTGGTCCCGCAGTTGGCGGAGGCAGCCTGGAGAGTTCGATTCTCTGACCGCGAGACTGGCAACCAGCGGGGGAGGCAGGACGAACAGTGTGAGAGCACACAAGAAGCGGCTCTCGCGGAACCCAGTGAAGCCTCTCTCCCGATCCTTTCGGCGGAGGAATTCTAGCTGGCGTGGCTCGGCGGCCGCCGCCTCCACCTTCCTTCCCTCCACCCGACGTTCATTCAGAGCCCTCCCTGGATGGGACGGTCCACACACCACGTCTACTCGGTGCCGGGTTCCCCGCGATATTTTCTGACTGCCTGTCCGCGCGGTGCTCGCGTTAGCCTGTGATCCTCGGCTCCCTAGACCCGTCGCGGAATAGGGAGGTCGAAATGACCCGGTTGGGATTGCGGTGAGTTCACAACATTCATCTTTTCTTACTATTCTTCTGCTTTTTTTTCTTCTTTCTTGCATCGTTCTCGCTGGCCAATGGTTCGTCAACCTGTCGCGTTACGTCAACGTTCTCTATATTGCCTACAGACACGTGTCATAGTATGCCTCGTTCTTTTCTTCAAAACACCGGAAGTCGGAATTTAACCCCCCAGAAGTCCTTTTCTTCTCGTTCTTTTCTCCAATCCATCTGTGCTCGGTTTCTCTTTTTCGGTCTCTCCGCTTCCTCTATGTGTTCTCCCTCGGTGCACGCGCCACAAGTGTTTCTATCACGGAGGGGGCACTTTCAACCCCCCCGGGGACGCTATGCCGAGCAGACTTCAAGGACGCGTGTGTGTTTACGGAGAATGTTTTCCTCTCGACGACGTTTGGGTCGCTTTTTTCTTCGTTCTCGTACCTTGCAAGTTGCTAGACGAACGTTTCAGTGTACAGTGAAAAACGGGATCTATGACGATCTGATTTTTGTGCTTTTCGGAACGTGAAATAAAGAACTCTTCTACCGTGACGTTCCCAGACGGTACAATTTTCTTCGTTCGATCGCTTTTTTCTTCATATTCGTACCTTCCATGATGAACGTTTCAGTGTACAGTGGAAAATCTCTGTGACAATCTAACGGGTATTTTTGTGCTTTTCGGAACGCAAAACAAAGATCGAGCCTTCCAACTTGCTTCTTTCTTCGCCGTGAAAAGTGTTTCGAATCGGAGTTGGGAAAAGTGACTAAAAAACAGTTTTTTGGGATTTTTTTTATAACATTCCATACTTAAAGTCATGGAACTTGTGAATATTAGCAATTTAAATTGAAAGAACTTCGATAAAAATATGTGTAATAAAAGTGTTAAAAACTCTTGACGACATCTTACGATTCGAAAGTGACACGATGTAACGATTCGAAAACGTCGAGCAAAATTGGTTGCAAAAATAAAACTATCTGTGTTTCGTTTAGATAATGTCGATCTAGTAAACTTTGTCTCCGATTTACTATCAAAGATAACTACCTTTGTACTAATATTTGTTGTAAATATTTTACGATAAACGGAGTATGGACAAGGTTTTTCTGGGTGATGATCTATTCTACAAATAATTTTCAAGTCTCAAGGTCGCGAGAAAAATTTTCCCCACCTTCCCCCATTTAGTTTGAAAATTCTATTTCGTCTTTCTTCTTTCAGATTCGTCGCATCCGCAGCGTTCCTGGCCGGGATTGTCAGTGGGGTAAGTAAAAATTACTTTCTCTTCAGATTTTTATAAAAATTTCTCGACAATTGTTTTAACCCCTTGACTTACGATTTAATTCCAAATAAGTTTTCAAACCTATACTATCTAATTTTGTTTAAATTTGTTCATACATGGAACGGTCACGAAAAAGAACAAATTTGTTTTACGAATACCTCGTGAGTGTAAAAATATGTTGATTTTAATCTACAAGACTTGATGACGAGTGGTCTCATAATTGTGAAACTTGACATCAAGAACTTGCGCCGAGTCAGACACGTCATTGTATGGCAAGGGGTTAAAAATGAAAACCTTCAAGATTTCGAACAGTTCGTATAACGTGAAGTCAATGCAGTATTAATGATCCGTACGCGCACGATAGTGGTAAATGTGTGTGACGAAGAAAATGATACATCCTGCGATAGTATGCGTACCGGATTGGATACACATAGTTAAAGATCGCGTTAACGCTAACGTGTCCGATGCTGGCACCCCGTTTATCGTGGAACCAGCCACGACACGCGAGGATCTAGGTTCATTCATCGATTCGCGCGAGTGCATCCATGCACGGAATGCACGTGTATCGACGGTGCACCAGCAACGAGCTAAAAAGTTGGCTGGGATCGAGAGGATCGCGTTTCGATCGCGGCGGGTCGTGTGATTCCGCGGCGCGTGCGGTTCTCTGCCTTCCCCTTTCGCATACTTGAAAGAGTCGGTGGAATCGCGAGGGCGACAATAATCCGTCGAAGGCCGACAGAGACTTCTTGGCTAGGCGTAACTCGCGCGTCTCGTGAGGATGTCGATCGTTCGCGCGATTAGATCATCGGGAACGTCGTTATGTCTGCTCGTCGAAAGCCGTACGATTGCCATCGTTTTCGATAATCTAGAATCTACGATCTTGATACGATTCGGTAGAAATTATTCGATTCCGTCGTTCGGAGATTTTAGAAAATTAATAATAATAGTTGCGCGTATATTATTAATAATAATAATACGTCTTCCTTGCATCTAGATTATAGAAAATTAATAATAATAATACGTCTTTCTTGCATCTAGATTTTAGAAAAATTTTAGAAAATTAATAAAAATCTTAATTGTGCCTTGATTTTAGAAAATTAATAATAACAATTATACGTTTTTATTGTACCAAGATTTTAGAACGTTCTAAAACTTAGAATCTTGATGTGTTTTGCTAGAAACTATTTGATTTGTTGTTCTGAGATTTTAGAAAATGAATAAAAAATTTAACTCAGAAAATTAATGTTAGAAATAAATAATAATAATAACATAAAATTTATTGCACCTATTTACAGGGTAATCTTCGGAAAACAAACATTGAAAGGGAATTAAAAAGTAAAGTGTGAGATTCAGCATAACGTTGTTATTATTTTAGCTACTAATCCGGAGTTGCTCTATTATGATGTTAGAATAAGATAGATGAAATGAAGATCTGTTTTGCTGTTGAAACAGGTTTGGCAGAAATTACCGATTAAAAGAAATTTACATTATTCTTTAGTTGTCTATTGTTTCATAAACTGGAGGAATGCGTTTAAGGAATTTCATTGAGTTTTAATGATCAAAACTTATCGATTTGTGATAAGAAAATTGAAACAGAGGAAGTCTACTCAGATACTCGTTGAAGTTTGATTAAAATTAGAGTCAGATAGTAAATTAGATTGTTCTTCAGTTGTGTATTGAATTAAAAAATCGATGTTTAATTAATTAATTCCGGATTGATTGTATATGTACAGATTTATATCTCTGCAAGATTAATAAAGTCCTTGATGTTGTAGCCTCTGAGTGACAGAATGTGTCAGAGATGGGACGAGGCAATTAGATTACCGCCTAGACCCACACTCTATCTAGCGAGTGTCTGTTGATACTGTTTCAAAAATACAAGACTATCAAAGAATGACAAGGACCGACATTAAATCGAAGCTGGACGATCTTATTTAACTCGTTGAGTAGGTTTCTACTGACATAAAATTCAACACTTGTTAATTTAGTCTGTAATCGTTAGTACATAAATTTTAGTTACTAAATGCACAAGTGACTTTTCACAAAGTCAGCACAGAATCCTTGGGACAGTCATGGAAAGTAATGTCAGCTATTACTCCAATTACTCAAACACAAGCCAACTTGCTACAACTTGCTTCGTATTAATCCTCGACATATGGAATCCTTAAGACTCAATTTTAATTTCTTTTTGATTAACTTCCTTATTCAAACTTAAATCAATTAGCTACAACTTTGATCAACTTACTTATTCATACTCAAATCAATTTGCTACAACTTTGATCAACTTACTTATTCAAACTCAAACCAACTTGTTCCACATTAATCCTCGATGTGTGAAATCCTTGAGACTCAATTTCAATTTCTGAGTTCTTCTTTACGATCAAATTACAACGTTTAATAAAGATGTCTTCGCTATTCCAGTTATACTTAACATTATAAAACATAAGAAATTAATTATATAACTGATTTTAAATTATGAAATTTATTATAAATTTAACACGCTCAAAGTAACACGATATTAACAATTTTTATTTCAACTCGTTACTCCAAAATATTCATTTCCAATATCCAGATCTAGTTTCTACGAATTGCAGCAGTTATAGCAACAGAATTGTTCTCGATTATTTTGGCGAATGGTGGGAAAGGCTGTGCACGATAAGCCGTGTCATGATCGCGTTCATCGTCATTCTTCTCCCTCGGCGAGCTTATTTTCGTGCCGCGTACGCCGAGGACATCGATAACGCAAGGATCAATTGTCGACGCAATAACAGGGCCGCGAGTCCCAGCAGATTTGTCGTCGCGAACAACGGAAAGGTGTTAAATCCGAAATAGGGCAGTCGTCTGTTAGCGACCAGTCCGCCTACGGCATCGTAACCGCGTGCACTGTAATTTTATTACACCACGTACATGCATACGCGTGTAAGTACAGTGCGTACGAGCACACGAGCCAGCTTAGTCACTATTGAAAATAGTTTGGAATTGACTTCGACTTGATTACCGTCGTCTGGCAACTTTAATCGCTGTTATTAGCTTTCTAACGCGTCCACCACCTGTCCTCCAGATACATAATGCGATCTCTTTTTCTGTACCTTGTTTACTTTTTATATATCGTATCCAAACATACCTCGTCAAACAGGAAAAATCTATTTTTATAGAGACTCGTTAAGTACTAAATTATTGTCATTAAAACTGATGTTTGCTTTCTGTATATTCTATTCAAACTAGTCAAACAAGAAAAATAATTTCTTCATAGAGATCCAAGAAGTATTAAATTATTATCCTCTTTGAAATTGATTACTTTTTATATATTCTACTCAAATATACCTTGTCAAACAGGAAAAATAATTTCTTCATAAAGATTAAAAAGTATTTAACTATTATCCTCTTTGAAATTGATTACTTTTTATATATTCTACTTAAATATACCTTGTCAAACAGGAAAAATAATTTCTTCATAAAGATTAAAAAGTATTTAACTATTATCCTCTTTGTAACTGATGTATTACTTTTTATATATTCTACTCAAATATACTTTGTCAAACAGGAAAAATAATGTCTTCATAAAGATTCAAAAAGTATTTAACTATTATCCTCTTTGTAACTGATGTATTACTTTTTATATATTCTACTCAAATATACTTTGTCAAACAGGAAAAATAATGTCTTCATAAAGATTCAAAAAGTATTTAACTATTATCCTCTTTGTAACTGATGTGTTACTTTTTATATGTTCTACTCAAATATACTTTGTCAAACAGGAAAAATAATGTCTTCATAAAGATTCAAAAAGTATGTAACTATTATCCTCTTTGTAACTGATGTGTTACTTTTTATATGTTCTACTCAAATATACTTTGTCAAACAGGAAAAATAATGTCTTCATAAAGATTCAAAAAGTATTTAACTATTATCCTCTTTGTAACTGATGTGTTACTTTTTATATGTTCTACTCAAATATACTTTGTCAAACAGGAAAAATAATGTCTTCATAAAGATTCAAAAAGTATGTAACTATTATCCTCTTTGTAACTGATGTGTTACTTTTTATATGTTCTACTCAAATATACTTTGTCAAACAGGAAAAATAATGTCTTCATAAAGATTCAAAAAGTATTTAACTATTATCCTCTTTGTAACTGATGTGTTACTTTTTATATATTCTACTCAAATATACTTTGTCAAACAGGAGAAATAATGTCTTCATAAAGATTCAAGAAGTATTAAATTATTATCCTCTTTGTAACTGATGTGTTACTTTTTATATATTCTACTCAAATTTACCTTGTCAAACAGGAAAAATAATGTCTTCATAAAGATTCAAAAAGTATTAAACTATTATCCTCTTTGTAACTGATGTTTTATATAATAAATTAGTTAAATTTTAAATTGATATTCGATATATAAAATTTTTAGCATTCATCAGGGACCAAGTATAATAACCGAAAAATTTGTGTGAAGGAAATCATTAATAAAATGTAGTTCGTTACCTGATGATAATGATTGTAAAGTCTGAAACTAATTTATCAAAACAATGACACGACTCAACAGTTTGGTTACATATTAATCATTATTTACGACTGCAATTTTTTTGGTCGCTTATACTAGGTATCGTCGTCGAAAATTTATTTTCAGTAACTCATAACCGTTATCGATGGCGGACATATTTTTTAGGTTGCATCGAATTGAATTTTTTGTTTTACATTGTGGTTCGTGTTTTATCATTGTTCATGGTACAACCTTTGCTCAAATTACTAATATCAATGGCGCAAAACAAATCATAGGTAAAAGTAGAGTGAAATGGATAGTTTTCATACAACTATAAAGAACTGAAATAAATTTCCTTCGTAAATAATTATTAGGAACGACTAATATGAATTTCCCGCCATTGGTAGTCGTCATCGACCACGATTAAAAAATATTTGCTCCAGTTGTTATCAGTAATTTGAAAAATTATAGTCGAAAAAATAATTGTTATTTTATAA